AACTCCTGCACAGCAACCGTCACTGCCCAGCTCTGTGCAGAGCCCCCAGGGCTGCATTTCCCCTCAGACAGGCGATGAGCGCAGGGGAGCACAGCCAGGAGAACCCCCAGCTGCTTCCCGGGGCCTGGGTGCTGCAGACAGGACCACGCAGGATGGCTCCTAGCTTCGAGGGCCTGTGGGCCACAGCCTGGCAGACACCCCTGCTGCCTGCCCACAGGGCCGTCACCATGGTGGGACTTCACTTACTGCCTTCATCCCTCACCCTGGATCCCCTGTAAGTCTACTTGTGTGGCACAGCAGCACCTCTCAGCCGTTGCCCAGGACCTGATCTGGGCAGAGACCCAGCTCTTCACCAGCAGATGAGACTGAAGGCTTTCCACTTGGGAACTGCAGTTCCTCGTCATCAAGCCGCTGTTTCCAATGCCACCGCACATGGCACCTCCTGTCTCCAGCTGAGATAACCAGGGCGTAAACGCTCCCTCTCCCACTCTGCAGGAAACTGCTGTAGGCAAAAGGGATGTGATGATTCATTCACTTCCTGTCTCAGAGCCCAACACTTTCCCCAAGAGCAGCACAAAAGTGCACCTTGCCACCCACCTATATACTTGATAAAAGCTAAATACAGCCACCTGTGATTGATGCTTCTCCTCACATAAGCACTCCAGCCACAACCTGGATAATGCACAGCTTTATTAAAGCATCAATTATCTTCAACGCAAGTAGAGCTACATTAGCAGGACTGCAGTCTGCTCATTTTGATAAGGTAGCTCCGTTCATTCGTCATGAAAACGGGGGCACCAGCAGGCCATGGAGCCTGCAAGTTTTAACTCTGTTAGGATGGAGCTGGACTCAACCTCCCTATGCATGCACCACCAACCAGAGCATCCTGGTCGTCAAGGTTTGTTTCTGCAGCCCATGAGGAACCAGTGGTCATTGCTGGCAGATGTCCTCCAGCTGCAAAACAGCGTGTGAGTGCCCTGCATCCCAGTCCCCCCGACTGACAGCACCCCGGGTACCCTGTCAGAGCAGCCAGAGCTCCATCTCGCTGCGGGGTGAGTGACATTCCCAGACAGCTCAGGTTTTGCTCCACTTATGTGCATGGCTTAGAAAAAAAACACAGAATCTTTTCTAAGAAAATATTACAAAATTATGTAGCAGCATAGAAGATTACAGGAAAGCAATGAAGCTGGCCATGCGCTGATCCAACTGTGGGTGCCTTGCACCAGCTCTGGAGAGAAGCTCCCTGTTTCTCTCTCTTTTGGCTCTACCTATATGCTCCAGTTCTTTTTAGTGATGCAAGCGTGGCCCAGGGGCAGGGCTAAGAAACTGCAGAAAAGCAATTCTTTTTATTAACAGCCCTAAAATTCCCTTCATAAACTACACTAAGATAGACTCTTGGCTTATTAATAACAGTAAATCTCCAAGTCCACTAGACTTCAGTTAATGAATATTGATTATGATAGTGCTGGAGAAGGCTGGTGTCAGTCAAACTGAGATCCCGTACCTCTCTTTGTCTGAGCAGGGCTGTAAATTACCCCAAAGCTCATTTGTTTTTCTAAATGAGATAGTGGAGAATGCAGTGGTTATGGCTGCAGGGCAGCTTCCACTATCCTAGGGCCAGAAAACCATCTCAGTGCTAAAAGCAGCTGGTTTGAGGGGCTGGGCTTTGCTTCCTGGTTTTTGGGTTTTTTTTAAGCACTTGGTAGGCTGTGGACCTGGCCCTCTGGGAGCTGAGGCAGGATTTATCAGCAGTGTCCAGCTCCTGCAGGCTGAGAGGAGCTCATATGCAGTGCAGAGGAGCAGAGGTGGACTCCTGGGTGGTTGACAGGCAGGGGATGCGCATTGGGGGATGCAGCTCCTAAGACTCTTGAGGTATCTGAGCATACGGTGTGAAAAGCAAGTTATTTTACACACAGAAGCCCAGTTTCGTGGAGGGCCACTGCCAGCCTGCAGCCAAGCATCCTTATGTCCCCCTGTGCTGGAAGAGGAGCCCCCAGCTCAGGGCAAGCCTGCCCCAGGCCTTTGGCTGGCACGTGCACATCCCCATCTATTTATGGATGTAAATCTGCACTTCCCTCCATCCCCCAATTACTCTCTCAAAGGTAAGACTCTAAGCTGATTCACACACACACACAGTCACCTGGACCTTTGCCTCACAAGACCAATCTCATTGTGCTCCTGATGAGTGGCTCAGTCTTCTACCTTCAGGCTGGGATGACTTTGAATGCTCTTTAAATGAATGAGAGCTCAGGAAGATAAACCAAGGGCAGTCCATTGCAACACAGAGATCGTATTGCTATCTTCTGGTGGGGAATGAGGCACTGACGAGTGGGGCACGGGGCGGACCATGCTAATGTTTTCATACAGCTTTTATGCTCATTGAAATAACCCAAGAACAAAACCCAGCACTGCCCCCTCCCTCCTCCCCACATCTGATAAAAATCAAATAATAACAGGAGTGACTTATGCACTCCCTGCCTGGTACTTCAGTCTGCCCTTCCAGTTAACACACACTATGATTAAAGCATCTCTAATCTGCAGCCTGCGGAGCCCGGGAGAGCAGCGGCAGCCGCGGGTGTGCAGCCCGATAAGGGTTGTTCCCTCACTGCTGATGAAACTTTTCATAATGCTTATGTTTTTTTTCCCTGATGCCTCCCTAGTGAGGAGAGAGGGGTGCAAGTTTGAAGATCAAAGCTGGATGAAAGGCCAGGTGGGATGTTTTTCCAAGGATAGGCAGGAGCTTAAAGCTCTCTCCACCCAAGAGCTGGCTTAAGAGCGCTGCTTAGGCAAGTGCAGCAGGGGAGAGGGGGGATGAAGCATCTGCAAGACCTTTGGGGCTCGTCTAAGGAGCACCCAGGCCCCGTAAGCTCCTGAGCTGTCTGGGTTTGTCTTGTCTGCACCCCGCAGAGCGGGGCTGTGCCAGGGACATCATGAAGTAAGTGAGCACCAGGTCAGCTACACACGCTGCAAGGGCTACCAGCATTTCCAGCTCAGCACTGAAATACACCAAGATCTGAGAACACACTGTGTCAGCCCAACCCATCTGTGGGACCTGCACAGGCCAGGATGCTTAAAAAAATAAATCACATCCTGCTCTAATCAAGTCACCATTAATTACTTCGGATCCACGGCTGGTGAAACAGTGCAGACACCGGTGCCTTTGCAGTCTTCCACCTTGGACAAAGGAAAACCCCCATTTCCAATTCCCCTTCCAAGCACACTGCTATTTCAGCTGCTCCTCATTTGGCTCTGCCCCCAGGGCAGCACAGGCTGTGCCGCTGGGCAGAACCCGCTGCTTTGCACCGCTCCCCAGCCACTCAGTGTGCCCCGCGAGCGGGGTATCCCCGTGTGGTGCCAGCATACCCTGGGACAGATGCGCACAGCTCACACAGCCCTTAGGACGCCTTGCTGACAGACAGACTCTGCTCACCCGCAGTCCAGGCACAGGAACCCAACCAAAACCCCTCATTTCCAGCAGCGGGAGACCTTGACTGACCTCAAGCCCAAATGGTTTAATATTTGTGCACTGAAAAAGAAACCTGACACTCCCGAGTGTCACTATTGTGAAAGACAGGAATGACACTGCCCATCGGTAATTTCAGATAGATATTACTGAGCCAACCTGAGTAAAACAAGAAGATGCACAAGTATTCAGTACATGTATTTGTTCATTCACTTCAATATGAGAGATTATAAACCTAGATAACTTCTTTCAAAGGGGATTACATGGTCCTTATTAGCATCAGAGCACTTCAACATGTTTGTTGACATCAAGACAACTGAATGAAGGAAACGCAACACTCGGTGTCTCCAAGACAGTGCAGTTTTCCTTGGCTTAAACAGACTTGTCTGCCAGAAATGAGATTTCTTGGCCTCTGCTTTCTTGACTGTATTTTTCTCCTCCACAAAATATGATTTCAGAATGTGCAAGCAGACTTTAAAGTCTAACAAGACAAAAATAAACTGTTGAAAATTATTACAGAAAAAAAAGCCCTGAGTGAGTTTATCTGTGTTCTTAAAGAGGAGTTTATCTCAAACTTAAAACCTTGGGGGAAAAAAAACCCAAACCATCCGAAGGAATTTCTGCAAGATTTCTGGAACCACATGAAAAATCCAAATTAACAAAGCCACCCAGCACCAGTGGAGCAGGTAGAACTTGATTAGCACCTGGATACACACTGGCCACAGCTCCTGCAACGCTTGCAGACTGCGAGCAAAACTGTATTAAGCTGCTTATCATTGCGAAGCAAAAATCAAGGATTAGCCATCACTCCCACTGCACATCAGTTGGCCTCCCTGGCTACAGCAGTCTCCAGGATTACGCTGATCTCCAGAGCTCCTGAGCATTTTGAATTAAGGAACCTTACAGCACAAGATGGATGTACATTAAGAAACATCAGCAACACCTCATACAGAATTACTGAGCACCGAGTCGTTCATGACAAACCAGAGCTTTCAGTGCCTCCAGCGTGGGAGTATTAAGACAAGTTGATAGGATGCTAAACATCCCTCTGAAAACATGAGTTTAAAAGTGTATGTGAAAAAATATAATTGGGGTATCATCAGGTGTTTACAGCTGTGTATTGAAGTCACTTGTACAAACAGTTTGTGAGCTCTAGTGTAAAAGTAACACATCTGGAAAACAAGAGCAGTAGTCAGAGACCCCAGTTCCCCGCAGTCCCATCAACTGGCAGCACGATGGCCTGTCCATGCAGTCACCCCCCACAGCCAGCGCCAGCAGCTCTGCAGAAAAGGGCTGGGATCCCAGCGATGAACAGGTCCCAAAAACCTGCTGAGGGAAAATCCCTCCCGGGTATCAGGCAGCAGCACGCAAGCACCAGAAACAAAGGCAAGTCCATCCATGGGCAGTTGCGCCTCTTGAGCAGTCCAGCTCTTATCGCATGGAGACGCTTCAGGAGCAGAATTACCCTGCACAACACGAGCTTCGTGCGTGTCCCCAAGACCAGTCAGTTGTGCAGATGTGTTTGAAAGAGATCACATCAATCTAAACTGAAGTGCTCTGCAAAAATGTCGTTTTTCTTCCCAAACAAACCTCGTATTTGCTCAAACTCCAGGGGCACATCAGCAGCTGTTTTCTTTACTTCTTTATCGAAAAGCTACAAAGACAATAGAAGATATTGGCAAAACTCAGTACAAGCTTTTCACCCTGGCTGAGACCACTGCTCACTAACCTCTTAAAAGAGCCAGCAATAAACCTTTATATAAAGTCAGCCCTGTCACCACTGCTGCCTTATGCTGTTATTTAACAGGCAATTTCTCTGGCTCTGGGTAACCAAAAGTCAGCGCAGCCCCCTCCCCAGCAGTGAAGCTGCTAACAGGACATGGCTATGGCATCCAGAACCAGGCTCCTTTCCTCTGGTGCCAGTCATTCACACAGGCACAGTAACGCTACCTCATAAGCCGAGAGCTCCAGCAGCCGTGATATGTCATCCTCTATCTCAGACAGCGACTGGTTCAGGACAGCAGCTGCCTTGGCCACATCTGGGTGGTAATGGTTTTGTAGAGTCTGCAAAAGCAAGACAAATGGATGATCTAGTAAGTACAGGGTAACACACCATACGGCTTCCCACACAAATGTTCCCTGAAGATCTGATCAGCAACGGAGGAGACATCAAATTCTGGCAGAGGAGGCACGTTTGCTGTCCTGTGCTACTACAGAGCTGCAAGGGGTCCCGATTTCAGACAGCCAAAGGCCCCATCCGCCTGGTTCACATCCTGCTCCAGACAGACTCCTCCACAGGCCACGTCTACAATGCAGACCCCAATTCTGCCACCCCTCATAGCCCCAATGCCACATCCCAGCTCCTGCTCTTGGGCACCACTCTTGCTGCTGCTTCGGCCCCTTACACAAAATCTCTGTAGTATTTAGATGGAAATCCTGCCATTAAGGTTTCAGAGCCATCAGGAGTAATTGAACCAATTTCAGCCTTCATACCCCATCCCAGAAATGATCCAGATGAAAGGTGAATGTTACAATCTTCCCTAGCATTTTTAAACCCATTTCTGCAGGATGACCTAGCTGTACCCAATTTATTTCCATCAGTGCTCAGCAAGTTTCTCTCTCCCCTCCAAAGCCAAGAAAAAGCCTCATACATTTGCAGCTATTTAGCCTGTTTCAGCTGCTAACTGCACACTTCTCAGCTGCATGGTCACAAGCCACCTACTAATTAGCACGTACAATTTCTCGACTGTGTCAAAGCCTTTGTCTCTTATGCTAGGATAGAAAAGGATGCAGAATAAAAGATGAGCCAGAAACTCCTCTCATTTGCAAGACACACATCAGTAGGTTCCTCTAAGTGGGACTGCCCCCTGCCAACATCTGTTAAGGAAGAGGCGAGAATGGAAGAAGCCCATTCCAGCTGCAGATGTTCCTTGGTAGCTGACATACCTGGATCTCCCAGAGACAGCTCTCCAAAGCCCTGCTTTCAGATGGCTCCTCCTCCTCCATAATATATGGATCTTCTGACATAGCTAGGGATAGAGAGATACAGAGTTAAAACCTCCTGCGTGATGTAAACTACCCCAAAAGGAACAGAGGGACCCAGAGCAGTGCTGCAGCCAGAGCTGCCCCATCCCAAAACATTCAGGATCCAGGAACAAGCTGGCTCATCCCGACATGACTCAAAGGCATTGTCTGCAGCACTACAGAATCCTATTACTGTTAGGGCGCATAGGAGGTAGGGCACAAAGAACTAGAACAGTCTGATGCAAAGGGCATCTCGGGCAGCTTTGGTCACAACGGACACTCAGCACTGGTCACTTAAATCAAAGAGAGATGAAATAAAATCTTAAGAAGCTGCTGAGGCCCCAGTGGGGCCACCTATACAAAAACACTACAGATTGAGACAGAGTAAGAGGTCTCTGGTTTCTGCATTCATTTTCTTCTCGTTTCTTGAAGTGAACAAGACAAGCTCAGCGTCTGGTACATCACCCCCAGTCCTTTAGCATTTGTAAGTTGTAAGCATCTGGGCGGGTGTGCTAGGCTTAAAGCAGCCTTCTCCCAGGGAATCACAAGGCAGGGGACACAACCATGAGGTGCACGGTCAGAAAGGAGCAAGGCAGCCAGAACTTGCAGGAGCAGCCTGCTGGCTGTCCACAAACTCCACGCACAGAGGGATCCTCCTACACCTCAGAACTGGGGCTATGGTCTCGCCTCCTCCTTCACGTGAATCTGCTCTCTCCGTTGCTAAAAGTGTAACACAAAACTCCCCTGCCCACCTTTTCTCTTACCTTCTGGCCCACTGGGTCTGTGCACTAGCACTTTGCAGGCAGGGTGCCTGCGGAAGAGATTGCAGATGAAGGGAATGACCATGAGCAGAGCCTCGGGAGGAGCCGTCAGGGCCAGCCGGGAAAGGCGCTTTATAAACGCTGCCACCAGGTATGCTGGCAAGTGGCTGTTGGAAAGGAGACAGAGGAAAACAGCGTGAAACAGCCCTAGCAAGGGAGCCAGCAGCCTCACCGATCCAAACAGCCTGTCAGGGTAAAGATCAGCAGTGCTCTTCAGATTTTTTGGGCTACACTGTAAAGAGAAGCTGCAAGAATCCTGGTTTCAAGCAGCAATACAGGGTCTTGTGCACTCCCTGGAACAAATCTGGGGGCATTTCCATTCGATGCATGAATAATCTCAAATCACCCTGCGGTTCAATCCAGATGCATGGCACCACTCCAGGCCCTTGCTGCAGCCAAGCACAGCTCTTGTACGTGGTCATTCACACGGCAGCCTTTATTCAGTCATTTTATAAACTTCTGAGTGCCTGGCCAGGCGACCTTAATTACATTCTTCTAGCGTCATTTTGTGGGTATAATTAATACGTGGGCCACGGCGTTAAATTTACGTAATACTTCCAGGACTAAAGCGGTGCAGCTGCTAATGGGAACATAAAGCTGCTGTAATGCAAACGTGCAGGAGTCCTTTTTTATGGTAAAAATGCAAATTTCTAGCAGCAGTCAGCTCATCTGGGCACTTTCTTCAGGTCAGAAGAGTGGGGATGGAAGATGGTAATTTTCAGCCCTAGAGCTCCCTACACCCGTGAGGCTCAGCAAACCCACCCCACAGGACCCCATCTGTCGTATCTCACTGCTCTCTGCAAAACACACCATGGATACAAGGGGTTTGATATTAAGTGCCTAATGGCACTGTAAAGAGTTACTCTTGGCTTATTTTACAACATATGACAGCAACTGTATGACCAGCTGCTTATCTGGTTTCTCCCCTGTGTACAACGAATTGTCAGGATCAAGACAGACTGTCAAACACTTTATGCTTCAGTGTTGTATGTCTGCAAAAGGTCATCCATTTATCAACAGCTTTATGATCTATAAAAAGCCTGCAAATGTTGCTTTTCCATATTCATAAAGACAGACGGAAAAATCATCACTTCCAGCCAAAGTGTAACACAGATCAAAACACAGCCATAGCCATTTGCAGATCAAACTCTGCTAACTAACTGCGTTTTCACTTCCTGAAGTTAGATAGCTGTATGGTGGATCTTCAGAATCAGCACATGAAAAGTTACACAACACTACAGTAACGCTCTTGGATTCAGTTTTCTCGGTAAAAACGAACCTAATCCAGTAGGCACACTGAACACATTACATCCAGACATGTGGGGGACTGTTCAAGAACAGCCTCTAGCCAACAGAAAAGCAGGAGGGAAATATGTGGACATAGGTAATAGAGATGCTACTTACGATGAAGACAAAAACAGATCGGCCAAATGGAAAAAGCGGGCTCGGTACTTGACGTGATATATTGAAGGGTCTAGAAGGCTGTACAGCTTTTTGTAAAAGTCGGGATATTCCCTGTTGAAAGGAAAAAGAAAACATCCATAGCTGGTGAGCAATGTACAGTGGGACTACGCTGAGTCTAAACGTTTCTGTGCTTTCCCTGCAGACTACCCCAGACCACTGTGCTCTGCTCAGCTTTCCTCGGTGTCTCTCCACAGCCACCACTTGAAAGCCAGCTGTAAGGTGGATTTATGGCTCTTACAGTGCCCAGCCATTTCCAGGATGTGAAGCTACATCCATGGACTGCAAATGGTACAGGATCCAGCAAAAGGCAGACCAAAGACTACGGCCTCCCTGTGTAACCAGATCAATAGAAATCGATTTTCAAGTGCTGAGCAACCACAGTCTGCAGAAGAGGATATTTAGGCTCAGCTAAAAAAAGGTCGGACTATCGAAAGAGCTCAGCATCCAAACAGCCGAGTCTCTTGTGCAGCCTTTGGCTTTCTCCTGAGGGAATTTTACAGCCTGAAGGTGCGGAAAATCCATTTCAGTTCCTTTTACATAAAGATACAAGTGCAAAAACCCACATTTCTTTAAACAAGGGGCTCTTTTCACTTACAGATTATGCTGATGTATCAGAATAAATAATCCATTTAAGGCTAGAAGGCTGATTGCTCCACCTGTAAGGAAGCACACAGGTATCAATACAATACAAAAATAAGTATCAGCTACTACTTGTTTCTATTATAAAAACCTCCCACAGAGAACACAAAACCAAGGAGTACCTGAAATTTTAGCCAGCATGATGGCTGTAAGGTAACACAGCTTCCCCTAAAACCACTCAGGGGCTCCTCAGTCACTTAGAGAGGTTAAGCTGTGGTTCAGAAGAGCAGGCTCCGAGGACTGAGACACAAATGTGCTGCTCTGATTCCCCAGGGCCACACTGGGGAGGCAAAGGTCTGCTCAGAAAGGGCATTTCTGTGGGAATCTGCACATCCCAAGTTCAGATGCAGCCCAGGTATCAGCACTGCTGGCTGTGATCTATATTTAAAAAGAAGTCACTCCAGCACTCTACTCTTCCAAAAGCCTTAAATAGGATCTTCCTTACATACAAGCAGCAACAACACTGATAAACACAGGTAAAAGCATCTCGCTTTCAGGGACAACAGAGCTCACCCTAGTTCCTTTGCTTCACCCAGCCAAGAACACATCCATTTCATCATCCAGGCTGTGGTGCTGGGTCCAGCAGCCCTCCCAAGTCCAAACGTACCACGCTGCAGAGGCTCCCAAAGGACAAAGAGCCTGTTTTCACTCACCTATGCCATAGGCCACTGTCAAGAAGTCTATCATGAGAGTGGGTTCATTCATGTAGGGCAGGATGGAGTCGTGCAGAATGACAAGGACCTTTTTGTAAAGACCCGTGGGCAGCTGTGAAGGACAAAACTGTACAGTGAAACTATCGCTGCGGGGAGGAATCTGAGCAAAACAGGGCTCAAAAAGGCAACACACAGGCAAAGAACAACACTGGAGGGCTTACAGCAACAGCTCCCAAAAGGGAGTGTTTACAAGTGACAGCCGACAGTTAAGTGCTTTCAAAGCCAGTGCTCAAAACTAAAAGTGCCATTAAAGCTCAGAGGGGAACGCTGGGGGAGTGGGAAGTCACCAGCAAAAACGATTGGGAACCTCCAACTGCAGCTCTGCCCGTAAGGAGTGATCTGCAGCATAACAACCAGGAACTCCGTGCCAGGACAACCCCAGCCTCCAACCACCAGCAGCTGGAAAGCAATGCAGATGGGAGGCAGAAGCAGCACTCACCTTGTGCTTCAAAAAGCACAGCCACATTTTTTCAAACGCCTGCTTGTGTGCCTAAAATGGAATTGCAAGCAGCGAGTTAAACACACCGGTGTAGATAACGCTCGGTTTTAAGTAGATGAAATCTCAGCTCTGAAGCACCAAATGAACAGTTACCTGCAGCTTTGACACTTTCAACTCCTCCCAGTTATCTAAGAAGAAAGGGAAAACAGACACTGAACTTAAAGTGGAAGCTTACAAAAATAACACGACCCTTTTTTACTTAGTCCTCTGCTACCCTAAAAATTTGGGCTGGAGTCCTTGTGTTGACAGACCCCTCTGTATACTGAGAAACGTGGATTTGTAACAGTTTAGAATCACTGCCATCACAGAAGCAGGCATTTTTCAGTAGCAAACAATAATAAAGTCTTTACACAACAGAAATCTTAAACCTGCCTTTTTCATACACAGTTCATCACATGGAACTTACTAACCTTGCTTCACCAAAAATTTGGCCATGTCAGACTCTTTGTTCGGCATGTTAATGGGCGAGATGAGGGAAAACACATTCTGCTGGTAAAACGGCGGCGGCCTCTGAGAAAAAACAACACATAATCAAGCATGAAGCAAGCTGCACCACAGAGAACAAGATGCTGGACTTCAATGTTACGCCATTTCCCAAGTGCTGAACGCATTTAGGAAAGAGAAAGGAAAGAAGAAATGCTGATGGCTGATCTACATACTGGCGTATTCTCTATTGCTGCCTCGTCCTGGAGCATTGCTTGTTTGCCTGTCACAAAACCTGAGCTAAACCTCTGAAGTAATTCTGGTTTAACAAAGCTGGTGGATCCAGCTGAAGAAAAGACTGTTGTGCACCAGAGAGAACGGCATTGAAAGTTCTGTGAGTGCCACTGGAGCTGCAGAGGTTTGTGCAGAGCAGGAGCTAGAGCCCAGCCAGGTTTTGCAAGAACAACAGCACGCACATCTCAAACTCGTTCCAATTTCAGACTGGAGGCAGTCTTACCATAGCTGACATACAATGTGAGCAAGAAACAACACAAACCAAACTCCAATCCCTTCATGTGCGCTCTCTCCGTACCCCACCAGTCCCTCCCTGCCCCACACACAAGATACACATGACAGACCCATGTCACCAGTAACAATTCACCTCTTTTGTCTTCTGCATGACTTGTCCAATGCTCTCAGTGACCGCCTTTATGACAAAGTACCGAATGTCATCGTACTCCATATATTCTTGAAAGCGAGAGATCAGGAGTGAAGCGTCCTCGTTCAAGGGAAGCAAGCCATCAACAACCACCTAAGAGAAGATTCGTGAAGGAAAGCAGCAAGTCAGTCTCTTACAGCACTGGAGCAGACACCAAGCCCTGGGACGGCCAAGGGCAGCCCCCTGCCTTTCTGAACGGCAGCCAGCATAAGTGTGTGCTGCTTGCCCCAGAGAAATGGTCACAAGCCATTTTGACGAGCCCTCCTGATCTCAACGGGCCACTTCTATCAAAGACAACGTCATTTAGAAATGATATGGTGGCTAAACCAGGGGCAGGACCTTCTCTCTCATCTCCCAGTCCCTGCAAGTGAGGCCAGGGACTCCCGAAAGCCACCCAAAACTGGTACCCCGTAAGCACCCAAGAACCAAGCTCAAACCTGTACAAGGTCATCTGCTCCCACCCTGCAGGCACCACCTCAACAGGGACAGAAGCTCAATGTCTTGGTGCTCTCTCTAGACCCCCACCCTCCCTTCCCACTGAAAACCTCCCAGCTTGAGCTTTTAGTCCTGGAGAAGATGAGCACAAGACGTCGCATGTGCCATCAGATGAAGAACCATTCAGTTTTGCAGCTTACCTTAAGGAGTTCACGAGGAAAAGTTAAACTCCCTTTCCACTCTACTTTGATCAAAGGATATTTTGCCTCCAACTCGACAAACTTCATGAGGGTGCAGAGTGACGACTCCTTTAAAAAAAACCAAAAACAGAATAAAACCCACCTGAACAACAGCAGGGGTCAGACCCAAAGGAGGCAGCATCCAAAGGAGGAAGAATGGCCCAAGTTGTTCTTCACCGAGAAAGCTGCGTGCCCGCTGCTGGCAGGCTGGTGAGCAGAGGTGAGCCAGAGCACCAGCAGTGTCTTACAGCACTGCCTGCTCTCCCACACTGAAACGTCTGAGTGATAAACACTTCTGCACCGCGATGGACC